TGATGGCTAATACATGTACATGTACATACATATGTATATACATACCCTATTGCTTGGAATGTTTTTTATTGTATACCTGCACTTTGTCTTGTCAGGTCAGTGGGAATTTCTACATGTTTCATAAAGTATTGTATCTATTGTGTAGCTGCTCCTTTAGATATCTGTTCTGTTGTTGTTTTATAAAGTAACAATATTTCTACAGAATTTGGGTTTAGAATTTTATTCTTATACATTTTCTGATACATATTGATGCCCTTATGCTGCGTAGAAAGTTTGAGCTGATTCCGATAAGAAATTTATGAGTCATGACCATTTTTTTAAATAGGCCAATTTTTGAAAAATACCCAAGGCTATAGCCTTGGAATTTTTTTCAAAAAATGGCTCAAAAATCAATCCAAAATTTTATTACATTTTCTGATATATATTGATGTCCTTATGCTACGCAGAAAGTTTGAGCTGATTCTGACTAAAACTTTTGGAGTTATGACCAACAAAAAATGGTTTCTACATATACTAAATACATGTACATGTAGTCTATTTAGTGTATTTTTAAGTATCAAAAGTAATAATTAATTACTAATTTTAATGACGAATATTCACTATTGGTAGTGGTTTGTGTGGTTGTTCTTTTCTGTGTCTATCAATCAATGTCTTCCTTTTGATCTTTAAGAGTATCCACCAAGAGAGGAGGAGTAGAATATCTATCACTAATCTCAATATATTCAAGTGATGGATGGATGAAGATAATTTCATATAAATGTTGTACTAGTTCTATCCAGTTAGGTTCAGATGACTTACCATTAATATCTCTACACTCTATCCTCAGTAGCCTGACGGTTGTATGTGACTGTAACATGTTAGTAACAGCAGGTAGTACCTGTTCATAAAACAATGGTGTCATTATTTGTTTCTTCTCTTCCCAACTACAGTTACTGTAAGACTGATCTGGTGTGAAGTTCACTTTAAGTTCTGTGAGATTGTTCTTTTGAGAGATGACATTCATAAAAGTTCTTATCCTTCATTCAGTGGAATGGATATACTCAACTGCTGTAGACTGGTGTTGTGTCTGAGACCAGTTGTTAGGAAGGACAACAATGAACTGGAAATGGAAATGGAAATGTCACTATACCTTTTATCATTAATCTCAAGGTATTTCAGTGTTTGGTTTTGTGTTAGCATGTCTTGTAGACTAGTACCCATACTGCTGGTACATACTCTCTCCTCCTTTATCATCACACTCAGAGCTTTAAGTGTAGTATTGGTTTGTAGAATAGTAAATAGTTCAATAGTACTCTCAGTTGTGTCTAGTGGTAATTTGTAAGTGTATGTAAACTGGGATGAGAGAGAAATAGAAGATGTGGTGGGTATGGGTAATTTATTATCAGACAGTGTAATCCTTTCATATGTGGAAGGAGTGATGATGTCATCAGTTCATTACTCCAACCTCCTCTTTTTATCTCTAGAGCAGTCAGTGGTGTGTTCACCTCTACTACATTCAGTGATGATGGTATGAGTTTATGAGATATGCTCAGTAAAAGAGCTTGTAATGTGTTGTTGTCCTTAAGTAATTGCCCTATTAATCCATCAGGTAGACGAGGAGGAGGAGTAAAAAGAGCATCTATTGTTAATGATGTTATTGTTTTATTTCTTGTTACTCCTCTAATGACACTGGTAATGGTACTTGTTATTTCATTCCTTCCAGCATACTTAATCTTCATTTCTTGTAGTGTTGAATTCATTTCTATACATTTCTCAAGTTCAGTGCACTTGTCTGTGTAGTATGTATTGTCAACTGTTGGTATAGGAAGACCAGTCATTATTAAGTGCAGTATCTTCAATTGAGGAAGATTGAGGAACTGTAACAATACACAAGGAACATATTGACGTAATGATGATGTACAGTAGCACTCCTGAATATTGTGTAGAAGTGATGACTATAATAATTTGTGTATTAAATCATCAGTAGGTTCATCCAACCATACCTCCAGTCTCTTACACTGGGTCTGTACAATAGACACTGCAGCTACTGGTCTAGTGTATGTTAGTGAATGGGTCAATAATCGTATATCAGTCTTTACTAGTGATGGTGCTTTTGTTAGTAGATTTGGAATTAAAGGCAGTAATATAGATCAGTTTAATATTCCTTGTGGATTAAAATTTAATAAAGATGGATTTTTGTGTGTTTGTGATCGTAATAATAGGCGACATGTTGTTTATTAAATATAGTTTAGTTTTCATTTTCTATTATTATTTTATGATTATTATAAATTTTAAAAACAAGTTAAATTTTATAATATGAAATGATCAGCTACATGTACTAATAAGAAGACGTACGTGTAGTATAATCTCCAATTATGCAATATGTTTGGTCAATTCGAATTGTGCCCCATACAATAATAATAATTTACTTAATAATTTAATAATACTTTACTTACTATTATTATTGATGTTGTTATTATTTTGTATTACTATTATTATTATAATTAAGAGGAAGCTCTCCACAGGTGATGTTCCCAGTATTAAGAATTGATGATCAGTTAATGAGTGAAGATGAGGTCAAAGAGATAAAGACAGGACTGAGTGCTATGAAGACAGGAGCTGTACTGGATATATTCAGTGAAGAGGATATCACTGGGAAGGAGAAATCCAAGTGGTCCATAACTAGTCTCCGCCTGACTAGTCCATAACAAGCTTGGAGTCTCGTACACTTCCCTTTGGAGTCTTTGTGGAGTCCTTGTAGTATGAGTATCCTGATTTTAATTCAGTAAATTTAGTAGTATCCTGGTATACATGTACCTACTGGAGTCTTAGATAAGTCAACTTGAAATCATTGGAGTTTCATATCTTTTTGCTTCATTACAGACCCCTTGGAGAAATCATGGCTGGTCAGTTAATTAATATGTGGGTGGAACTTAAGTAATGAATTCATTAATATTGTATAGTAGAGGGTTTATATTTACCTTTTTAGTTTTTGTTTATTTTAAGTAGTACATTGAGCTAAAATGCAAATAATTTTATTGAAAGTCTGTAAATTTTATTTCTTTATATAATCACTGGTGTACATGTACATGTCATTTTTCTCTTTTTCCTGGTAAAAGTCATTGTAAGCCTTATCAAGCTTGATTATCTTAGTTGCTTTGGTTACTATTTATACACATGTATCAGTTGTGGTCTTATTGTCTCCAGCTTGTACATCTGTTTGTTCTATACACTTTTGTGGGTTGGAAACCACCTACATGTATACTTGATAGCCTATGCTTAATAACATTTGTATTTTGTAAGTATTATTGTTTGTTAACTTTATATTTTATCATAATGTAATTTGGTCTTTTTATCTCTCTCCCTTTCTCTCTCCACCAGTCTTCTACCTCCTCTCTGGTGTATGTACATGTACAGTTATATTGCAGAGTCCCAGTGAGGCACTGTTAGCTGATGGTATTGAAGAGAATGATCATTTAACGGATAACTAGGACAATGATAAAGGATATAACAGTTAGTATTATTATTAATCTATTCATTAAATTTTTACATTTATAATAGTATGTACAGTACACATGTTTATTTTTTAATTTTGTAGTATTTTCCCTTTTCCTTAAAGACCACTGTAAAGACCACTGTTGAGATACTGGAGTGGATCAAGCGTAGACTGGAGGACAACTAGTGGTTACTGGCCGAGAGAATGTGACACAGGGTGGCTTGAAATTAGCAGTATATACTGACCTAGTAAGTAATGTGAATATACTTAGTTGTAATGTATGACTTTGTTTTGTGTTTGCTAAATTAGTGACTAAATGTGGAAAATCAAGAAAATGAAATCAACCAAAAGTAGCCTAGCTTGATCATTAATTTATGTCCTTGATATGACTTTTGACACAAAATAATGCTTTTGAAATTGACACAGAATTGTTACATTTTGGACTGAAAACCTTCCGTTATGACAATACATGTACTAGTATATCTAGTACCTTAGGGTGGGTATTAATTGTGCTCTTAAATTTTAGTGTTATTAAGGGGACCCTGATTTAGTGAAATGTAATATTAGCGAAAATAGGAAGAAACTCAATGGTAAAACCCCCATTCAATAGCATAGCACTATTCAAGAAGCCCAATCTATACATTTAAGAGCAGAATATACTACTTAACAGGATCACCCTATTTACTGTTATCTTGTTACAGATCTTGCCTATCTTGTGTACTTGTTTACATAAGTACATGTATATAATAACTATTATTAGCGGCTGGTTGAATTAGTGTTTTTAAGTACACTTGCTAAAAACGCAAAAATTAAGTGTCGCAATTAATACCCACCCTAAGGTAATTATTATGCTATTATTGCAGGGTTTTGCCTATCACTTATGTAATTGTTCCAGTTGATTGATGTACATCAGTCTGGTAGTATCAGTCAACAAGAACTCATTGGAAGATTAAGCAGATTAACAGTGTGAGCATCTAATGACATGAAACTAATTGTATGTTACACAGTCATAGTGCTGTGGGGATTTTTTAGCCTGCATGATATACTGTATAGCTAGAAATTTTGGAGGGACTTTAATTTGGCAAATTGCTAAATTTATCTTGTTTTGGCGAATGGCTATCAAAATGCCAAATTTGCTAAATTTAACTCCCTCCAAAATTTCCTCTTTGGTACAAGTGTTGGCCGTACTAAGCTGATTATGAGTTACATTAGACCATTACTGAGAATTTATGACGATAAATTGGAATCATATTATTACCAGGTATTGATGTACACTGTCACTAGCCAAATTTTACCAAAATTGAAAAGGAGAGCTTTCTTCATTTTTATTATCAGTTTTTATAATTTTTCTAAAATCAGTCCATCATCAGCTAAAGTTTAGGTGAATAAGAAAGTGCAGCCAATAGCCACTTATGGCAATTTGCAGAAATTTTAGGTGACAAAAATTTCTGGCTATACAGTATAGTGTATGACTACGTGTATGTATATACATGTACATGTACATGTAGTGACCAATGTACGTACATATACATGTACATGTAATTGATATTTTTCCTATTATTATAATGTTGACTTTACACTTAATGTGTTAAAAAATAAGTGGTGTGCATTATGTAAAATAATCTTAAATATTTTAATTTTATGTTTTGTACTATAACGTACCTTTACCAATATTTGGTCTTTACAGTACAAGTACTGTTAAATATATACATGTACCTGTTTAAATAACTGGGTTAATTATTTTTTCTCTTACAGTGATGATGACTCACAGCACGGTGTGCTAGGAAGGTATCAACAGTGATATGTATCCATGATGTACATTGTCTTGAACCTGATTGTAATAACCACGGATCATGTGACATGGGGGCATGTTCATGTTAGTCATCATGGACCAGAGATACTTGTGGATATGTTACATTGTAAGTGTTCGTTAACTGATTATAATAGGCATGGGATATCACATACATTATATATACATGTATATGTAAGGTAAAGATTGGACCTTATGCACCAAAATGATTCTAATTAACGCGCACCCAAAGTGGTGGTAAAATCATAAAATGGCGGATTTTTGGAGGGAAAGACAGGCAGTCACAGGCTAAACAATCTTCTCTTTTATCCATCCATTCTAGCTGTGGGAGCCACTTTGAGCTGTCCTTTTGTTTCAGTATACTCTATTTATCTCTTTTGTAAGCTCTTTGGTTGCTGTTTTGGCTTTTATAGCATTTTATCATAGGAATATTCTCAACCATTGGCCATTCCCGTTTTTCTAAATTTTGCTTTCAGGAGCCAGGGCGCTTGCCCCTCCATTGCTAGGAAGATAGAAGTGCATTCAGCTGAGTCCTATGACTAGTGTCTATCATCAGAGTTAGTCTCAGTCCATCAGGACAAGGTACGGTGGAATAACTCACTCAGTTGTTATTTTGCAGCTGGAGTGTGGATGATTATGACCATCTTTTCACTTCTTAAAACTATAGGACTGGTCTTTATTTACATGTAAGAAGCATTCCAAGGATCATAAGTGTGCTAGAATAGCTAAGCATCATGTAACTAGCTATTAATAGTAACATCCAGTATGAAGTAAAACACTTTCATCGTTACATGATTTTTATGTTTTTATTCATGTTAAAAATTGATGTTAATAACAATAATTATCTTTGTTATCGTCAAGATGGTTTCAAATTATTGTGTATATACTGTTTATCATAAAGTACATGTATGTGTAAATGCATAAATAGTCGTCTATACAAATGCAATGTAGTGACCTAGTGATAACAACAATAATAGTTCTAGCAACAACACCCATTATGTTTTTTATAATTCAAAATAATAAATAAAACTGTTGGGAGAGGATACAAATGGTGAAGAGCCATGAACGAGTCCTGAATGTGATGATTCCTTTCTGCAAGTACTGGATAGCGACTGACAGATTTTAATGACATGAGATGCTCATACAGTACAATCAGTGAATTTACAGATAAAGAATGAGTTCTTGCATGCCTCAACTATCTATAAGAGCCAACCTATAGTTTTAAGAAGTGAAAAGATGGTCATAATCATCCACACTCCAGCTGCAAAATAACAACTGAGTGAGTTATTCCACCGTACCTTGTCCTGATGGACTGAGACTAACTCTGATGATAGACACTAGTCATAGGACTCAGCTGAATGCACTTCTATCTTCCTAGCAATGGAGGGGCAAGCGCCCTGGCTCCTGAAAGCAAAATTTAGAAAAAACGGGAATGGCCAATGGTTGAGAATATTCCTATGATAAAATGCTATAAAAGCCAAAACAGCAACCAAAGAGCTTACAAAAGAGATAAATAGAGTATACTGAAACAAAAGGACAGCTCAAAGTGGCTCCCACAGCTAGAATGGATGGATAAAAGAGAAGATTGTTTAGCCTGTGACTGCCTGTCTTTCCCTCCAAAAATCCGCCATTTTATGATTTTACCACCACTTTGGGTGCGCGTTAATTAGAATCATTTCGGTGCATAAGGTCCATTAAAGACAATAAAATACATGTATTGTCCTTCCTGATACATTTACATGTACATGTAATTCCAATCAAAATTAGCCTTCTTTAATTTTCTCAAATTTTGCCAAAATTGAAAACAAGAGGATCCTCCATTTTCATTAAATTCTCTAATGCATGCACATGTTCTTATGTTGATCAAAATTGGATTTTCTGCAATTTTATAAAGCTGCTCAAAAATTGGCTAAAAATTTTTGTACAGGGTCACTGGCCAATTTTTTCAAAATTGAATACCTAGGAAAAAATTTTCAATTTTTTATATTTTTCCCGATACACATACATGTTCTTATGTAGTGTAAAAAGTTTGAGCTGATTTTGATCATAATTGAATTTTTTATGAATTTTTTAAAGTTACATAAAAATCAGGTTCACAGGCCAAATTTTACCAAAATTAAAAAGGAGAGTATTCTTCATTTTAGTTTTTTTTCTGGTACATACATGTACGTACAATTAGTACACATTATCAAGAGTGGATTAGGGGGTTAAGGCCCTCATGCACTCTTGACATTATGTATATTCATTATTATCATTATTGTCCTCAGGTTAGTGTACTTGTGATCCTGGTTGGACCAAAAAACTGTGCCAAAACGTAATAATTTTTAAATTATTTTTAATGTAATTTACTCTTTCTTATTCATGTAGCTTGTCCTAGAAACCGTTGGATCTGATTTTAGGTCATATTGTTACTGCTGTAAATGCAGCCACTGTCATCCAGTGTGTGGTAACTGTTACGGTACATACATGTATATGATACAGGATACACTGGAGCATACTGATGATAATATTTTAAAAGTGGTATGTTTTTTATACACTGTATGTATGTATTTTTATATTTATATAATGTACATTGTAAGAAAGTTCATTATGGAGCTAGCTGTGCTCAGAAGTGAAATACTAAAAGATTTTTTATTATTATTTAAAGGTGTATGTGTCCCGATTGTTCTGATAATAGACATTGTTCAATAATTAATGGATCATGCTTATACATGTACCATACATGTATAGCAAGGTACTGTTTTTACCTTATATAAGTGGTTTTTTTGAGGGTTACAAATTTCGCGGATTCCCTCCGGATTTGCGAAAATCAATTTAATACGGTATCCGTGTGGCACACATGGTACAATTCGCGAAATTAAAATCCGCGAATTATAATATTAGCAGATTTCACGAAATATAATTCCCATGAAAAAAAACCACTTAAACGGTATTTTTGTTAGAAAGAACCCCCACATGATAAAATATCTCCTAATTGTTAGTGTTCATTCACTTAATATTGTATAATAGTGAGTAGGCGACTAGGCGTATCAAAGGTATCGCCTGTGGTTATACAAATATGATCTATCCCTGTGGTTTTATTGCTATCACTATTTGTAGTAGACTTGAATTGTAGTAGACCTGAATGATTGACAAGCAGGAATGTGCACAAACATGCACAGTGTGTGCATTCAACCCTAGTTGGAACTTATTGTTTTCTATCTCTCTCTTTCTCAGGGTGGGACTGGTACATCTAATAACATCAATATATCAAATATATTGTCAACTTTATCAATCACACCATCTTTATTATTAACTAATATTACTGATACATGTATGTTGGTATGTATTACCAGTATTAAACTCAATCTCCTCATTATTGTCTGCTATATACTAGTGATGTACATGTACATTTGTTACTCCAGGATTTTACTGTATTGCATTAATCTATTGACAGTTGTAATAGGACTAATAATAGGTAAAGGAATGATAAATAATAGGAAAAAAATAAAAGTAATAATAAAAATAATAAACAGTAACTGTAGAAGGAAAGTTAGATAACTATATGTATATGTATGTGTGGTATGTACATAAATTGATAGTGCTCTTATTTATAATTAATTTTCTATTTCTCTTATTTATAGTAGTGCATCTCCTCCATTTATTTACAATGCTAACGAAGACGATAATCAATTTATTATTATTATTATATTAATTGGTTTAAGTACTGTAATGAACTAATGATACATACTATACTATATATGTACTGTTCACATTATGCTGTCATGGTAACAGAGACAAAGTTTAACAATTCAGAAAAAAGAGAGAATTAATGCAGGAAAGAGAATGGGAACAGATTATGTTACAGAACAGTAGTACTGATGAAAAATTTAATTATACTTGTATAATATAAAAGTATTATTTACTATGATTTCAGCATTCCAGTAACTACCTACACATTTGCTGATACAGCCATTCACTTGTAGTAGTAATGATACATACTTAGCAATAATAACAAACAAAATAGTTCATGGCATGCTTGGAAAAGGTTCAGTCACGTTTGCTACACTACTGTAACCTTACAATTCCTGTAACACTATACTGTAACAGGTATAATGCTCATATGAGCTGAAGAAGTTCATCTACACCTTGTTACAGGGGATTGCACTATCTTTGCAACAAGTAGAAATCTAACAAGTCACTTGTAATAAGTTCAAATCATAGTTCGGAAAGAGTCATCATGTTAGTAACAACAAACCCTGATTCATATCATATGGAGGAGCTAGAGAAAAAGAGAGTGAAATGATACCTATCAGACATAGCATGTGTATACAAGATACACGAGTATCTACACGAATTTTCAGGTTCAAGTAGATAGTGGTAGATAGAGGAGAGCAGCCTAAAATATTCGCCTTTATTTTCAGATATTTTCATGTATTTATATCCATACTAAAATAATCATCTGAAAAGCTTAAAAGACTGTTTCCTAATGCTTATTCTTCTCCATTTTAGTGCTAATAAGGCAGGTAGGCATTGTGCATTTTTCTTTTCAACATAACACATTCTTTTGTATGAAATTTCAGTGCCCACATGGCTTTTATCATGAGTAAATAACTGCAATGGAAGATTTCATGCGATGCTTTTTGCAATAAATGACATATTTTTGGTAGATGAAAATACACATCTACTTACAAAGTAAATGCAAGTAAATACTGGTTAAAAAAATTAAAATACAAGTAAATACAGAGTAGATAGAATTTGAGTAGATGTGCTATGTCTGATACCTATGATGAACAGTTACTCTGGCCAATCACTTATATACTAGATCTGTAATTAAACAGTCATGTTAAATGAATTCAACCTAGAAATAAGAATTTTTTTCTATTCAAGGTAAAATATTGCTTGACTACATTAAGGATGATCATGCAAAGACTGAAAGCATTAAATTGGTGAATGTACAATGGGCTTATTTATACAAACAAAAAACAACTATGCAAAATAATGAAAGTAACTCATACGATGTTTGGTATTTATTATAATAAACGAAGGGTTTATACTGACAACAAGACTAACACTTACATGATACATTAGTATTCATGAATACTTTAAATAACAGAATAGGTCTGTTAAAATATACTATATTGTTCATCCTGGGGCCTGCCAATTCCATTAGGAAGGGAAGAGGCTGGCCCGAGTCTAGTGGTGAGACTAGCCGGAGTCTACATTATTTTTAATCTAGACTGAGTCTGGGTCTGTTCACATATGCTGTGCATAATGCATTGTAATTCCGTGTTATTGATGTGTTTCATGCAGTATCTATTTTTATGAGTTGCTACAGTATATACCACATAAACTCATACACTCATCTTTTGGCTGTTCATACTTATTGCATAAAAATTAATGTATTTCAGTTTATGCACAAAAAGCTTGTTCCTTGTAAAAATTGAAAATTACAAGAAATAGTTGCAACTAATAACTTCCTGTCGGCATATGTACTTCTCATACGGCAATAAGATTAGAATGATATAAATTCACTCCTACTAGCTACTCCTACTTATATATAAAGTATATGCTCAGTTGGTTTGTCATTAAGTGTTGATCAATCTACTGTGGCTACTCTAACCTATACAAGATGATTGATATCTCTCAATGGAGAGCAAGTATTGGAATTTGGAGCTACTGCCAAGCTGCCTCCAGTAGACCAGCTAAAGGCCGCCACTCTCACTCATTCAAAGTTGCAATAGATGACAAGAATTCAGGCAGTACTGCATCAGGAGAGATAACATCTAAACTGCCAGCAGCTCTGTCTCTTATTGCCGGCAGCAGTTCTAACCTGATTTATAACGAACTCCATTTGATTGTTTGTCTATGTATTCTACTTCTCTTATCAGGAGATGTTGAACTCAATCCTGGTCCTATAATTGATGATCAACCAACTTGTCTCTTATTTGCAAAGTATCTTAAACCACTTGTTGACTGGAAATCATTTGCTCTTTGTCTTCCTGGAATAACACAATCTGATGTCAATATAATCAATAAAACAAAAAGAAATGCTCGCTTTAAAAAAATGGCTTTACATAAGAGATGGTTACAAGTTAATCCTCAAGCATCATGGAGATGTGTCAATGTTGCTTTGAAACAATGTAAAGAGAATAAACTAGCTAGAGATATTGAAAGAAAAACAACAGTTTCTACTCAAAGGACTTGTAATGATGATATAAAAGTGCTGACCAATGCTAATCCTGACCCTATAGTAGCAGGTAAAGTTATAATAAACCTTATAGACCTACACTCTATGCATTGTATACTGCAGGTAATCCAAAAGATATATTAAGGACTCATTCTGCTAAACTCACTGATGCTATTGCCACTAACCTTTACAGAGTAACTGATGCACTGTATGCTGAGAGACTGATACCACTGAATACTAAAGAGGAAGTATATGCTAGAGCAACAGGATTAAATGATTCTAGAAAATCAAGTCAATTAGTGAATGTATTGCAAAAACAATTGGGAGCCTCTCTTAATCCAAAGCAGTTTCTTATTGAAACATGCCATGTATTAACAAAGCAACAACATTGTATACTAACAGATATTGCTACCTCTATATTACACCAGTTAGGTGAGTGTGTGTGTGTGTACATTATTAGTGATCAATATAATCATTATATCTCAATACATTAGGTCAGTCTATACCTGATAATGTCAGTTCACATACTGTACCACCATTACCAGCCGATGATATATCCAATACACCAGTTACTAATATAAGAGGTAAAAATTTAGTATATGTAGTGAGAGTTTACCAATAATTATTTGCATAGATAAATTGTATAATTTACCAGCTGATGTAACAAAAATACGTGAAACTAAATTATCTGTCAGTGATCAATTCATAGACTGGAAAGGATATGGATTGAGGATAAAACTGCTTAATAAATTATCATCAGAAATAACAGTGCATGCAACTGCCCTTGTTGGAGGAAAGCTGTTTGAGTTACCAGAAAATACAATTCTTGTTAGCGTAATTTATGCTGTATCTACCTCCATTCCTCTGCTGATGAGACTAGAGTTGCAACACTGTGTTGATCTAAAAAATCATCCAAGTATGAGTTGCTATCTTAGATTTGCCACTGCTTCAATTAATGATGGTTCTCCTTACAAGCTTACACTAAAAAAAGGAAATTTTAAGTCTAGTGCCAGTAGTGGGTACGGGTCTTTTGACTATAATACAAATTGTTTTATATGTATTTTGGGACTAAAAAAAGGCACTGTCAATGGGAGTATTGACCATGAAATAATGAAACAAGAGCAAAAACAAAAAGGAAGTAGAAAGCAACACAAAACTTATCAGCTTCGAAAATATGCTCAAAAAGAATGTCAACAAGGCAAGTTACGTAAACATGGACAAGACAAACAAAAAAATGAAGGTGAAGTAGTTGGAAAACTTAAAACTACAAGCATAATGCAACAAAAGCAAAAACAAAAAGGAAGTAGAAAGCAACACAAAAATTATCAGCTTCGAAAAGACGCTCAAATGGGATATCAACAAGCCAAATTACGTAAACATGCAAATGGACAAGACAAACAAAAAAATAAAGGTGGAGCAGTTAG